AGAGAGAGAGAGAGAGAGAGAGAGAGAGAGAGAGAGAGAGAGAGAGAGAGAGAGAGAGAGAGAGAGAGAGAGATGATTACCAGTCAAGACTGAATGAACTTCAGAGCTGATGCCAATCGTTACTGTGGTACCTTGCATGCACAAGTTAGGTTGGAATATGTTTTTCCCTTTGTTTAGCCAAAAGAAGAGAGAAATGCATCAATATGGACGATACCCGACGACACTATTGAAAAGCTAAATATGAAGGCCAGAGCTTTCCATTGGGCGGGGGGTCTCCACTCCGTGCCAAGCAATGCTGGCCAGTGAAGGCAATATAACTTGAGGCTCGCTAGAGTTAATAATGTCTGCTTTCAACCAGGCGTTAATCTGATTCCTCATCACACGGTCCGTCTCTAGGTTTTCTAAGAGGCAGGAAGTGTTGATTTAATCAAGGCATTTTGCACTGTCAGTGTCAAGCACTTTGGCACTGATGGCAAGGCTCGCCAGGGCTACCACAGACCCTAGACAAGAAACTACGGCACTTCAAGCGAAATAGGTGGTAAAGATGTTAACTACACAATCTTCGGAGTGGAACAAAATGACACTAGACAGTATCCGGTCTCTGACCTCCATAGAGAACCCACAAAATATGTCCGGGCTATTCTGGATTATGAACAAGGAGTGGAATTCGAAGACAGGTCGCCAAAGAAGAAGAAGAGGAGAAGGCATCCCCCCCCCCCCTTACCCTATTGGATTGTGACATTCCAAATATGGAGGGAAATCATGCCCAAAAAAATATCCAAACCAAGGCCCAAAGAAGACGTGCTTCGTCAACCACTCTTTAAGAACACATGGATAAGGGATGATGGGGACCTTCCCTCACCGCCAGCCTCTAAAGACAGCCAATGGCTGCCGTGGGTGAGCCACGGGATATGGAGGGTCTGTCGCATATGGAATGACAAGATAGGAGTTCGGATGAAGGGAAACCGACTCAAAACCCACCTCAATCACGATAGCTGGTCAATGAGGAATTCCCCTGGAAATCAGGACAGTCGGGAGTAGAAATCGAAGATATGCTCTCGACCCGGGCATGCCAATTCTCCCACAGGTGTGACCCCAATAGCTTATTGGCGGTCTTTATATCCTTCCCTATTAGTTATTTCAACCCTGGAAAAGGACCTGGAAGAAACCAGTTTCAACGCGTACACAGTATGTAAAGTCAGAGCAATGGGACTCTGGCCAAAAACAATCTTCCAAATTGGTACACCTATTCGGGAACTGGAATTTGACCATGCGGAATGGGGCTGGCAGCCGAAGAAGAGCAAAAGAAGCGGCAAAACCACACCAATAACAGAACATGATATGAACCATCTATTAAACGCAGATGGATGAGGTTACTAGGATAATTTAATTCCTAAGACCATGGAAGAAATCTAAGACCATACAATGGTTCATCACATACGCTGACAACCACATGTCAGAAGAAAAAACAGGGACCCAAACAGTTCGGATTGCTCAGACCAAGAACAAGAAGACTTGATACACTACCTAGTTAAGCGCAAAGAAGCAACAGACCTCTGAGCTAGAACTTCTGGCCGGTGGGACCACCTATTTTCATCCACCTTCCCTGAACATCCTATCCAAGACCTCTGGACTAACATCCCCTCCCAGTTAGGCAAGCCAGAAAAGCTATGCTTTGGACTGACTCACAAAACTACACTATGTGACCATGGGCAATTTTGAAGGAAAGATGCAGCAGCACGCTGGCCAATACAAAGAATTCGCATGACAAAGTCTGGTACGCTACAAAGAGTATGATCGAGGCGGAAATCCTCTGCCAATGCCGAAGGGTCAACACACAATAGAAAGCTATCCAGATAAGGGCCAGCTACACCTGGCAAGTTTCAGGAGAGTCTGGTTAGCCAAGGGTAAGGTGGCTGACATAAATGACCAGAGGCTGACATTCAAGGATTGGCACAACTCAGAAACAGCGCGATGGTGACAGAACACCCAAACGGAGAGATCCCAGAGACCAGCCAGATCATGATGGTCAGACAGGGGCGCAATAACAGTAAACAGGGGAGCGATAGGGTGTCTAAATCAATCAAGGATTGACATCGTCAGGGAAGCAAGGATGCTCCGTCTCGTGACTCTTCATCGGAAGGCCAAAGCTGACAAGTCCAGGGATCGAACCTCAGCGGAATACATGGGAAAGGCTAGCTGGCAATCAATCCTCCTGAAATATGCAGCAACCAATGCTGATCAAAGGTCCTTCGGCCACACACGGAGGGAGGCTTGTGTGGGTTGTATTGTAAATTCATGACTTGCCAGAGGAAAAGGAACCGCCTGACGTTCCCCAGAATGGATACGGACCCAGGCGGGCCAGGCCCATAAGAACCTGTTTTTAGTACTTTTACAACAACAACAAAAAAAAGAAAGATAAGAAGAACAAGAACAAGAAGAGAGAAATGCAATGCAGTACAGGCCAGAACAGCAGTCACTTCAGCACTTTGCCATTGCTCTCTCTAGGGGAACCTATTAGAGTAACAAAGCCGGCAGGAAAGTCAGTTCTCCACTTCGCCGTTCCACAATTTAACAACGAGAGTGGAGTAAGAATAGTGCTCTTCACTGAGTCTTCAGGGCACATGCATACCTTCTTGTTAACGGAGTGAGGAAAGGGCTGCCGCCAGTGTGGCATCTATACTACTCTAAAGCCATCTTAGGGGATTAGTTGTGAACAGTCTGAAGTGATGTGACCAGTAATGGATGTCTGTACTGTGAGGGCACAGCTGCATGCGGTACGCCTTTGTGATTCACTCCATCTCTTCTTCCTTTTTTCTTTCACTCCATGCCTTTTATGCAAGGCAATTAGCAATGCCAACAGCAATAAACCAATTTGCAACATCTCACAGAAAACCAGACATCATTGAGCAGAAATTGAAAACAGAAATCAAAGCGAAATGCACACCAAATACGAACGAACAAGGCACCCTTTCAATGCCTCCAATCACGAATACAACAACAATGTAGCCCTCCCTAAGGCATCCTGAACGCCGGTAATAGTTCCCTATGCTCCTATCTATCTAGAGTACTTATGTCAGCAACAGGTCCACGCCATCTGCCCAATTCCGCTTGAAGACTCTGATTGTACAACCCGCCTTCGCCGACACCAGGTATGTGCCTCGTTCACACTGCCTCTCTCCCTCGCCCCCACTCCCTGTTCCACCAAGGACTTCCGCTTCTCCATCACCCCGCTATGGGGTGAACAACCCGGCTATGGCTGCCGCTCTTCCTCTCCACGCAGCTTCCTCCTCCGGCTCATGCGCTAGGCAGTCGCCCATGCAGCACTGCTGCATTGCCTGTCTGCCCAAATGTGTAAGGCAAGGTGTCCTGGGCCCTTCCAGAATCTGCACAAGGCCCAGCATCTTCAACCAGCTTGTGGGCTAAGCCTACTTGCTAGTTGAAAAAGCTGCACGCATGCAACAACTTGGGGCCCCATTTCTGCTTGCATGGGCCTGAACTCAGGCCAGGGCCATATTTTTGCAGGGCCACCTTCATTTAGGGCGGTTGGGGCCTCTTCCTGGTTGACCGAGGTGCTGAATCCTCGCATTTACATCTTTCTAGCGACTGATTTCCCTCCTTTATCTCCCAACCCATCCTTCTCCTCCTCATCTCTAAACGTGTGGAAAATAAGACTCCAGAAGTTCCATCAAGCAAATTACTTACGTGCTCTGGGAATAGAAAATGAAACGTATGGAACAGCAAGAGGAAGTTACAGGAATCATCTCGCAGAGATTCGGCTGACTAACCTGCGTCAGAATTAAGTCGGGTTGTTGCGATTCCAACCACTCGACATCCAATTCAAAAAAACTCTCCTTTTTCGCCATGATATTCTTCATCTGCACAAAAAACACACTTCACAGGTTACAGAGTCTACAGCATAGATTGACTCAACATACAGTTATTCACAGTATATCAGTTTCCTATATACACAGTGTACCAGTCTAACAGCTACATAACGCACAAGTTGAACTGTTGTCAAATGACAGCGATAACTCAAGCTGTCTTCGCGGGGCGGGCAGACTCTCTCTCTGTCTGTCTGTCTCTCTCTCTCTCTCTCTCTCTCTCTCTCTCTCTCTCTCTCTCTCTCTCTCTCTCTCTCTCTCTCTC